AATATCATTGATATTTAACGATCCCCCACTCGGCCACGCTAAAAACTGACAGGATGACAGCGGCTCAGAACAGAATTCTGCTGCTTTATGTAAATAGTTGGTGGATCTTTACGCTTGAGTCCTTTTGTACAGTGATGAGGCTTTATTGCTTGTCTGTGTATACAACATGTATATAATATGGGGGAATATTGTTTTATTTATTCTTGATCTTTGTACAGTTTACACTACGTTTATGTTTTGTTACCTTTGTATAAAAGTTGCTTGAATCTTTCAATAAAAAGATTAGCAGCAGTGACCGGTCTTTATTAAAAGGAGGGGGTGGAGACAAGACCAGTCTTACTGTAATGAAGTTACCTTCCCAAGAAGTGGTAACCTGAATGTAGAAGATACCAAACGCACTGACTGTACATAAGAAGGTCCAGAAGGTTAAGAAGACATTGGATCTCCTGGGATACACATACATCAGACATAAGTCATATCCGGTGCCTAACATCTCCTACTTCCGTGCTGGTAACGGATGTTCTGGTGTTCAGATGGTGGAACGTTGTCTATGGAAGTGTAGACCTGACCGGGGTAGTTGGCAGGAGTAACGCACGGCGCAAGGGGCCAGGGGTAACGCACGGCGCAAGGGGCCAGGGGTAACGCACGGCGCAAGGGGCCAGGGGTAACGCACGGCGCAAGGGGCCAGGGGTAACGCACGGCGCAGGGGTCAGGAGTAAGGCACGAGGTCAGGAGTAAGGCACGAGGTCAGGAGTAATGTAATACACAGTTGAGGAGTAAGGAACACAGAGCGCTGTAGCCAATCATATAGCACAGCAGAAATTACCCCTCCCCTCTGTAAAATTATTTCATCAGACCTCAGCTGCAGTATTCTAGTCATTCTAGTACTCCTCCCAGGTTTCCCCTCGGCTGTGTCATAGGGCACGTCAGCTCCAAAGAGCAGCCTAGGACTTCCCTCAGCTCTGCATTTCCCATTGTCACTCTGACCCGAGAGGCGACAGGCAGGATGAGGAACTGGCTGCATGGCGGGGTTGTGATTTACGTGTTGCATGGCCCCTGATCAATGCAGAATGTTGGCTGAAGGATCAGTGGGAGCCAACATGTTTCCGGGACGTGTGTACCCTTCCTCAGGGCTGAATGCTGCAACACTCTCCTTTTACTACCGTGCAGTGATTGTGATCTTGTACCGCAGGGAACACGTCTGTTTCTCCCACTGATGACTCAAAGCAAGTTCAGAACGTGCAGTCCAGTTATCAGTGTCCATGCAGCAGAGATATACAGAACCGTCAGTCCATGCAGCAGATATATACAGAACCGTCAGTCCATGCAGCAGAGATATACAGAACCGTCAGTCCATGCAGCAGAGATATACAGAACCGTCAGTCCATGCAGCAGAGATATACAGAACCGTCAGTCCATGCAGCAGAGATATACAGAACCGTCATTCCTACATGTAAATAACGGGCGAGACGCTTCGCCGTACAGAAAATAATCCTTTAATTTAAATATCAAGGTCACTAGTTAAAAAATCCCGTTATGTACACAGAGGAGGCGAGACGCTGCATTGTAACAGCGTACACACTCTGAGACTATCCAAAAACTCCTTCTGTCCCCTTTACCCCACCAGGCGGGGGAGACGTGCGGGGTGCCAGTCTGGAGGGACACCCTACCCGAGATCCTACACCCGACAACCACAAGGGCAAGCCCGCTTCAAGGAGACCTCCAACTAAGGAAGGAACACCCGAGCCTCAGCTGCGGCCCCTCCCTTCTGAATAATGCTGCCGGTCATCCCGATCCTTCGGCTTCCATGGCGGGATGAGTGTGCTCGTGGCGGCTCGGTGTACTTTCAGAAGGCAGTGGCAGTGGGAAGCCTTTCTCTAGAGGTCACTACAAAGGGTCCTGACTCCCGCCACAAGGTTACCCCATTTACGTACATTACAATGAGTTCTGCTGGAGAAGTGAGACTCTTCCGCTTTGGATTTGTAACTGACACAGACCGGAGCTTTGTTCCCCGTTTTTGGATTGACCAATCCTCTTCTTTATTGCATTATATATAAAGCTTGCCATTCGGTCAACTTCCTTACAGGATGACTGCACTTTAAAGTAGCCAAACTCTGGCCCTCCAGCTGTGGGTGAAACTACAAATCCCATGATGCATCTCTCTCTCTCTCCGGGAGCCGTGGCTGTGGGCATCTTGCAATGCCTCATGGGATTTGTAGATCCACCACAGTTTTTTGGCTGGAATTGCACCCCAACACACTAAGGCAATGTACCCATGTTGCAGCGCGCCATAAGGCATGGTAGTGCGTTGCGTTGCGCATACAATGTTGGATTTTTGACATGTTTTGGGTACGTCGGCAGCCCAGAATTTTAGTGCGTTGGGGTGCCATTGAAAATAAATGGCTCAGAAACGCATGTAACGCGAGTTGCTGTACGTCACCTCAAACACAGTAGTCTATATGGGACCTTCACATCCTCTATAACCCTTATTTAATGTCGCTGCCGTCCCCCTTTGATGCACAGGCAGCCAATCGGAGGCTCTGGCTACACACAGATCCCCCGCCCCTCGGCGGGTACACCGGACAGAACCCGGCGCTGACACAAGTCTTGGGTCAAAGCTGTTCAGCATTTTTAGGTCATAAAGCGGGGAGGGTGTAAAATAGCGACATTGTTTTCCGGGTTCTGAGCCACTTCAGGTGCCGGAGACGATGAAAACCGATCCGACGGAAACGTTACTTCACATAAAGTTTAAGGATGAAAATCCACAAAAAAAAAACAAAAAACACGCTCAGCAGCATTCTGGGAAATCAGACGACCTCGCTGTAAACTCCGGACATTTTGGTTTTCGCTGTGAGGGGGGGGTTAGAAAAGTTCCTGAATATATGCGACGATCTGCCGCTGTGTGAGGAGGAGGCGGGGTCAGCCAGACGCGGTCACATGTAAAGTCCCAAAAGGAGAAGGTGACGGCGGTCCGGCTAAGTCCCAGAAGTCTCGTCTCCCTTTGTCTTGTTCATGAGATCGAAGCTTTTCTGGAGGAGCATCAGCGAGCTCTTCAGCTGGAAGAGAAACACGTCGAGGAGTTTAATATACCGGTATTGTATAAATATATATATCAGGCGCCACTGATCTCCAAGCTCACGCACAGCTCACCACAGTCACATGCAACGCCCATCTCCTGCACCACCCATCTCAAAGCTCACGCACCACCTTAGTGGTCAGAGGGAAGAATACTCCCCTCACAGTGGAGTGAGCTTGGAGCAGTGACTACTTCACAACACACACAGGGACCATGGGGAACAGACGTAGCCCCCCTCCAGAAGGAAGGACAGTGTCAGCACCAATTCAGAGATGGAGTATCCACAGCCGAGATCTACAATTAACTACTACCACCTCATGTATCACTTCCCCCTCCCTTTTAGATTGTAAGCTCACGGGCAGGGCCCTCCTTACCATCTTGTCTTGAATTGTATTGTGATTGTAATGTCTTCCTTATATTGTAAAGCGTTGCGCAAACTGTTGCCGTTATATAAATCCTGAATAATAATAATTGTTAACTCCTGAGTTTAGTTTCACTTATATGTTTTCATGTAATATCACGTTAAGGCCACTAGATGGAGTTAAAGGAGCACAGACAATAGGTATTTTGTTATGCTCTTTAGCTCCATCTAGTGGCCCTGATGTGATATTACATGAAGAAATTACAAATACATTCCCTTGTAAATAAATAACTAAAAGAATATTTGTTTTGGCATATATCCGCACAGAACGAACATTCACATTGTGAATAGTTTATGATTAATATATTTTTCAATATTAAAAAGGAAAATGATTTACAATTTCATGTATTATGTGTGGTATACAAGTTGTACCACCTGAAAGAGTCCCAGGATTCTTCTCAAGTGGTGTTTTCATACTGAATTAGGGATGTATGGAACAGTACTCCCCTTTAAGTGCTTGCATCCCACCTTGTAGGTCATAGATCTAGGATGGAGCTAGCCTATCTAGGGTACAGCAGAACCCCCCTCCCCCAAGGATTACCTGTTCAAGTGTGCTAATGGAGTCCTGTAGGGCGCCCTTCAGTCCTGGTCCAAATCTGTTACTGTGAGACTCGTCTCCTCGCCCAACAGTGCTGGAGTGTAACCTGGAAATATCCGCAGAACACATAAAACATCCGTCCAAAAAATGCATTTTACATTTCTAATACAAACAGGTTAAAAGGGCAAAAAAGCCAAAATACGAATCTATATGTTACTGAGGGATGTGTCATCGCCATGCAGTGCTGGAGCCTTGGGTTCAACTTCTTCAAGACACCCCCAGATTGTGTGTTCTTCCAGCTCCTTTGGTGCAGACTGATGTGACTGGTACAGCACCGCGTTATATGTCAGAGCTATATAAATGTATAACAATAGTGACTGTGGGGGGGACATTAGAGAGTAAGCTCCTCTGCACAGAGACTGAGGTGACTGTGGGGGGGGAGGGGACATTAGAGTGTAAGCTCCTCTGCACAGAGACTGAGGTGACTGTGGGGGGAGAGATTAGAGTGTAAGCTCCTCTATACAGAGACTGATGTGACTGTGGGAGGGGACATTAGAGTGTAAGCTCCTCTGTACAGAGACTGATGTGACTGGCTCAGTGTCCTCTGTACAGCACTGCAGTATATGGGGGACACACAAGGTGATCACAAAACTCCTCCTACCTGGCGGATTTCTCCTGCTGGATGTGAACATGGTAGAAGCTCTGCGCGGCATGCTCGATCTTTGACAGCTTGATGAACAGCGTAACGTTGAGCACAACAAGCAAGACCAGGCTGAGGGGGACAGAGAGAGCAGACGTTGCATTATGTACACAGTGCACACAGGTTCTGTAATTTACCTGCAATTCTTAAAGTTGGTGACCGAGTCTCTTTAAAGTGCACTTAAGGCATACTGATGTGGCCTGTCAGTCATTCTAGCATGCCTTAAGTGCTATTTAGCATGCCTTGATGATTCTTGTGCCCCATTAAAGACTCTTATTACAGTCTTTATCTGTGGCCTCTTCCTGCACGCCCACTATCAGTACACAACCCAGGTGCGCGGTAATAAAAGAAGCTCCTGATAACAGGTCTAATCTGCAGGCTGGTCACATGGTGACTCTGTATACAAGTAACTGCGACTGACACTGAAGGTCAATAAATATGCAGCAGCTGCTGAGCCAGTCACTATGGGTGTAAATCAGTGCGGGGTATACATACTCTCCTCCCATGGTACTGAAATACAGGAAGGGGGTGCAGAGGGTGCGCATTACAAGAATGTGTAAAACGGGAACAATGGGATAGGTTTGTGAATGAAGCTGCACACCGCTGTTCCGCAAAGCTAAAACCAACTTTATTGTTCCAGCACATCGGGGAACACCCCACACCAACACCTCTGACACCCCCCCCCCCCC